CGTTTAATTTCATGGAGTATCAGATTTTAGATTAATACATGAGAATGGGGATTATTATATTGGTGGATAAACATATCCCCAGTTGATCTTAGAACACTTTTATTTACTTAGGACATTGTGATCTTTAAGCAAATTTGTTAGTGAATTATGATATTTTAGGTGGATTTAGTTACATGATTGTGATCTTGGGGAGATAGTCAAAGATGGTCGATGGATTATTACATCTTAGGTTTACTACTATTACATTGGTGGATAAACATATATTCAATTAATTCGGATCAAATTGGATTCAGTTAGCTAATTGATCTTGAAGCACATTTGATGATGGATTATAAGTTTTTGATAGATTTAGTTAGGTGATTGTGGTCTTGAGGAGTTGTCTAAAATATTTGGTGGACTGAGATTGTAGGTCTAGTACGTGGGCATTGTGACTATTATATTGATGGATAAACAGATCTTAAATTAATCTTGAAACACTTTGGATTTAGTTAGGTGATTGTGTTCGGTGGATTATGAGATTTTAGGTCTAGTATGTGAGCATGGTGATCATTATATTGGTGGATATACAGATCTTCAATTAATTTTGGAACACATTAGATTTAGTTATATGATTGTGATCTTGAAGCAGATTTATCCGTAAATTATGAGATTTTAGGTGGATTTAGTTAGGCGTTTGTGATCTTAATAAGATAGTTAAAGATGTTCGGTAGATTATGAGATTTTAAGCCTATTAGGTGAGTATGGTGATTATTGTATTACTGAATAAACAACCCTTCAAGCAACTTGTAATAATTTATATTTAGTTAGGTGCTTGTGATCTTGAACAAAAATGCACGGTGAATTACAAAAATTTTAGATTGATTTGGGTAGGTGATTATAATCTTGAGAAGATGTTAGGTGGATTATGAGTTTTTAGGGCTAATAGGTGAGCATGATGATTATTATATTACTAGATAGACAAATATTTAGTTAATCTTGGAACAATTTAGATTGTGTAAGGTGATTGTGATCCTCCACTAAATTTCATGGTGGATTATAAGATTCTAGGTGGATTTAGTTAGGTGATTGTGCTATTGAGCCGACACTCAAAGATGTTTGATGTATTATGTGATTTTAGGTATATTATGGGCATGCCTACTTTTATATTATGGGCATGCCTTCAATTAATCTTGGAAGAATTTGGATTTACTTATGTGATTTTGTTATCTTGAAGCAAATTTGACGATGGATTATGAGTTTTTGGTGGATTTAGTTTGTAGATTGTGATCTTGAGGAGGTAGTTAAAGATCTTCGGTGGATTATGAGATTTTAAGTCTAGTATGAGCATGGCTATATTATATTGGTGGATAAACATATCTTTCGTTAATCTTAAACAATTTGGATTCAGTTAGGCGATTGTCAATCTTGAAACAATTTGGATTCAGTTAGGTGATTGTCATCTTGAAGCAAATTTGACGATGGATTATGAGTTTTTGATGGATCTACTTAAGTGATTGTGATTTTGAGGAGATAGTCAAAGATGTTCGGTGGATTATGAGATTTTAGGTCTAGTATGAGCATGACTAGTGTTATATTGGTGGATAAACATATTTTTAGTTAAATCTTGAAATAATTTGGATTTAGTTAGGTGATTTTGATCTTGAAGGAAATTTTATGATGTATTATGAGTTTTTGATTGATTTAATTAGTAGATTGTGATCTCGAGGAGATAGTAAAAAATGTTGGTTGTTTATGGGATTTGATTATTTTATTGGCGGATAAACATATTTTTAATTAATTTTTGAGGAATTTGTATTTATTAAGGTAATTATGATGTTGAACCCCATTTCACGATGGATTATAAGAGTTTAGCTAGATTCAGTTAGGTGATTGTGGTCTTTAGGGGATAGTCAAATATGTTTGGTGGATTATGAGATCTTAGGTCTACACCTAGTTTCAATGGATATGCTGGCGACCTTCGGCATCGACCTCGGCTCCAGCTTATGTTGGCGTCCCAATTGTGAGATTCTGAGCACTTCAAAGCCGCCCTGGCAGATCACCATCGTTGCGGAAGGGCATACTTTGGAACCAAAGAATCTCACTAAAAAGGGCAGCCCGGTGCATGTAGCTCCCGCTTGCGCAGGGTCGGGGAAGGGTCCGACCACTTTGGGTCTATAGTACGCAGCCTTTCCCTACATTTCTGTAAGAGGCTGTTTCCAGGACTTGAACCCGTGACCTCATGGTCACAAGGCAGCAGCTTTACCACTGAACCAAAGAATCTCACTGCCAAGGTGAATTCCGAAGTATGTTGTTTTGGCCTAAACCTACAAACAACAACAACAACAACAACAACAAAGCCTTTAGTCCCAAACAAGTTGGGGTATGCTAGAGGTGAAACCCATAAGAATTCATGACCAACTCATGACTCTGGCACATAGATAGCAAGCTCCCACGCACCCCTGTCCATAGCTAGTTTTTTGGTGATACTCCAATCCTTCAGGTCTCTCTTAACGGACTCCTCCCATGTCAAATTCGGTCTACCCCGACCTCTCTTGACATTCGCCGCACGCTTTAGCTGTCCGCTATGCACTGGAGCTTCTGAAGGCCTGCGCTGAATATGCCCAAACCATCTCCGACGATGTTGGACAAGCTTCTCTTCAATTGGTGCTACCCCAACTCTATCTCGTATATCATCATTCCGGACTCTATCCTTCCTCATGTGGCCACACATCCATCTCAACATACGCATCTCCGCCACACCTAACTGTTGAACATGTCGCCTTCTAGTCGGCCAACACTTAGCGCCATACAACATTACGGGTCAAACAGTCGTCCTGTAGAACTTGCCTTTTAGCTTTTGTGGCACTCTCTTGTCACAGAGAATGCCAGAAGCTTGGCGCCACTTCATCCATCCTGCTTTAATTCAACGCTTCACATCTTCATCAATACCCCCTCCTGCAACATTGACCCCAAATATCAAAAGGTGTCCTTCTGAGGTACCACCTGCCCATCAAGGCTAATCTTCTCCTCCTCACACCTAGTAGTACTGAAACCGCACATCATGTACTTGGTTTAGTCCTACTAAGCCTAAACCCTCTCGATTCCAAGGTTTGTCTCCATAACTCTGAACTAACTATTTACCCCCGTCCGACTATCGTCAACTAGCACGACATCATCCGCAAAGAGCATACGCCATGGGATATCTTCTTGTATATCCCTTGTGACCTCATCCATCACCAAGGCAAAAAGATAAGGCCTCAAAGCTGACCCCTAATGCAGTCCTATCTTAATCGGGAAGTCATTAGTGTCGACATCACTTGTTCGAACACTTGTCACAACATTATCGTACATGTCCTTGATGAGGGTAATGTACTTTGCTGGGACTTTGTGTTTCTCCAAGGCCCACCACATGACATTCCGCGGTATCTTATCATAGGCCTTCTCCAAGTCAATGAACACCATATGCAAGTCCTTCTTTTGCTCCCTATATCTCTCCATAAGTTGTCGTACCAAGAAAATGGCTTCCATGGTCGACCTCCCAAGCATGAAACCAAATTGATTTTTGGTCACGCTTGTCATTCTTCTTAAGCGGTGCTCAATGACTCTCTCCCATAGCTTCATTGTATGGCTCATCAGCTTAATTCCACGGTAATTAGTACAGCTCTGAACACCCGCCCTTGTTCTTGAAGATTGGTACTAATATACCCCGTCTCCATTCTTCTGGCATCTTGTTTGCCCGAAAAATGAGCTTGAAAAGCTTGGTTAGCCATACTATCGCTATGTCCCCGAGGCCTTTCCACACCTCAATGGGGATACAATCAGGACCCATCGCCTTGCCTTCTTTCATCCTTTTTAACGCCTCCTTGACCTCAAACTCCTGGATTCGCCGCACAAAAGGCGTGTCGGTCTCATCAAAGGAGTCGTCTAGTTGAATGGTAGAACTCTCATTCTCCCCATTGAACAACTTGTCAAAGTACTCCCGCCATCTAATGCTTAATCTCTCCGTCCTTGATGCATTTGACTTGGCCAGTATCCCTCGTCTTCCTCTCTCGAATCTTGGCCATCTTATAGATGTCCCTTTCACCTTCCTTTGTGCCTAACCGTTGGTAGAGGTCCTCATATGCCCGAACCCTCGCTTCATTGACAGCTCGCTTTGCGCCCTTCTTCGCCATCTTGTACTTCTCTATGTTGTCCGCACTCCTATCTAGGTATAGGCGTCTGAAGCAATCTTTCTTCTTTTTAATCGCTTTCTGGACAACATCATTCCACCACCAGGTATCCTTATCTTCGCTTTTCCTCCCCTTGGACACTCCAAACTCCTCTGATGCCACCTTACAAATGCAAGTCGCCATCTTCATCCACACATTGTCCGCATCCCCTCCTTCCTCCCAAGGGCCCTCCTGAACAAAATCCGTAGCGATCATTGAGTGAAGAGCCTACTTCCAAGTTCTGCATGGCTGGTTGCGAATGCACCGAGGGCTTGGAGTATCACACCAGATTCTTGTACATTCTTACTACAGATACGATTAACATGAGAGATAAAACAACTCTGAATCTGAACAGCAATGGAAGTCGAATCAGCAACTAGCTGCGGCCTGTAGCTTGTTCAGCACCATCATACAGAATCATCACTCGCCAGTAGCCTTCTGGTAGAGCCAAATGCAGAGTCAGAGGGCATCAAGCAAAACAAGGCCCGGAGTATACACTGCAGCATCCTAGTGAGGCATGACGCTGCTGGAAGGCCCCGTATTGAGAACTGAGAACACGATACAACGGTATATGAAGTCCAAGGCTGATTGGTGGACAAATGTCGTGAGCATATCCGGCGTGGTGCTACAGTTGACAAGACTGTCTGCCGCCAAAATCTTGGAAGGTTAACGCATTTGTGGTTGAAGGCAGAACAAGAGAGGCAACACAACTACTTGAAAGATGGGCCATATGTGACACCTGAAGAAGCAGTTGCTATTTATCCAACTATTTCCTGTGCACATCTTTGGCACAAGGTCCATGAAAGTGTTGCTATGGATCTTTGCCAAGTTCTGGGTCAGGAGTTGGATGCGCTGGAGATTGAGAGAGTACAGAAGGAGACAATACATCCAAGGAAGAGTTGCAAGATGAACAGTTCATGTGCAGATTTCCCTTTTGCTGCACATAGATGGCAGATGTCCAAACCAAGCTTATTTTGTGAGTCAAAGGATGTCTTCGATCAGAAAGCCAGTAACAAGCACTGGATTGATGTGCAACCAAGATGGGGAGACTACAATTCACACGACATAGAACGTTACGCAAGAGCAAAATTTATGGACTACACAACACATAATTTGTCCATCTACCGTTCTCGGACCGGTATGATTTTGAGTGTCCACTGATTATCAATTTCTTGCCTTGTCTGAGTCTTCTGTGCTTAATGTTGATTAATATTAATTGCAGGGGTGATGATTGGACTTGATCTAGTTTATAATTTGCACTCTGCTTTTGGTAAGTGGTTCCCCGGGTCAAAGCCCCTCCTTCAGCAAGCACTGAACAAGATCATGAAGGTAATAACCATGCTAACTGTAACAAATCTAGATATCTCTGTTGTAGTAAAAAATGTCTTAGTTAATACAGTAAATGACATGCTTGTTTATTTTCTCTTTTGACAGTTAAATCATGCTCTGTATGTGCTGAGGGAGAGAATAAGAAAGGGTCTTCAGTTGTATTCATCTGAACCCACCGCCCACCGAGCCATATCTGTCTTCATAGAACTACGGTACAGAGATATATTCAGCAATCAAATCGTATGGTTTGTGGATGACACAAATGTCTATCGTGTTACCATTCACAAAACCGAGGGTAACATGACGGCGAAACCAATCAATGGTGCTATCTTTATTTTCAATCCAAGAACTGGTCAACCAACTATTTCTGAAGGTTTTTTCCCTTTGTTTTGCTTTTAGTTCTAGTTTTCTTGCAATTATGGCATACTGCACAGTATCACAACTTGGAAGACTTGAATGAAAATGCATTATAATCTGCAGGTCATCCACACAAGTGTATGGGCAGGACAAAGCAAGTTATTGTGACAAGGAAGGGTATGTTGGATCCCTTGGAAGTCAAAGCCAATTATTGTGACAAGGGTATGAGCAAGCAGCATTTGCATCGAAGACAGATTTGCGTGTCAGGGCCATCTCTGCTATGAACCTGTATTTCCGTTTCAACCACATTTATGTTAACTCGGATGATATAAAAGTCAGAGGAGCAATTTATGTTCTTCGATTTGCCCATAAAATCGCCAAATAACAACGGTCAAACTGGCTATACTTACATCATGCCAAAGAATATATTGAAGAATTTGATATGCATAGCAGATCTACGGACACAGGTTGCAGGTTTCCTGTATGGGCTGAGTCCACGGGATAATCCTCAAGTCAAGGAGATGAGATGCATATCCATTCCGCCACAGCATGGAAGTCACCAAATGGTGACTTTGCCAGCGAATCTACCAGAGCATGAGATCCTTGCTGACTTCGAGCCGTTGGGACCCAGCCGAATGAAGCTCCTGAGCTATCACCTCAAGTTAGTCTCCTACCATTTGTATCTTCAAATGTAACCTTGTGATTATCCAAAATCAAAATTAAGTACTCCCTCCGGTCCATATTAATTGTGGAACGCATCACATAATACAGGGCCACGCCTGCGGACCTGAAAAGCTCTCTCGCCCGTGCCGCTCTCACGGGCGGCAAGGCGAACCCTAGCCACCGTCGGCCAGCGACCCTCCCCCGACCCTCCCTCCCACTTGCCGCCACCGGAGTGCGCCGCCGGGCGAAGCCCGGCTGGCGTGGGTGGCGGCGGGGCCTTCTTCCCCTTCTCCCATGGCTTCCGGCGGCGCGGGACGCAGGGCCGCGGTGTGGAGCGCGTCGTTCGCGCGGGACGGCGCGACGGCGACCCGAGCGGCGTGCCAGTGGCGCGGCCGTGCGGCGGAGCGGCGGCGACTGCGTGGTTCTGGAGGCGCGGGCTTGGGCGTGGGGCGGGCGAGGTGGCTGGCTGCTTCAAGGCTTCCTCATCAGATCCCGGCGACAAGGGTCGCGGGCTGCGGCGGCACGGGCTGGCGGCGGTGTCCGGCTAGGCTGGGCCGACCTCTATCATGGTGAGGCGTGCCGGCTGGTGCGCTGGTGGCGGGGCATAGCTGTACGGGCGCGGAGGCTGCAGATCTGGTTGTGGTTGCGGCATCGCCCGTGCGGTCGATGCGGGTGGTGGTGGCGGTGGTCTCCGGGAGGGGGCGGCGGCGGTTGTCGGCCAAATCAGCTGGGATCTGGCCCATGGCCGTCGGTGGGCGGTTTGGGGCTGTCCCTCAGAGTCTCGGCGGGGATGTGGGCTGCCACGGCGTGGTGGTGGCTCATGGCGGTGGTCTGGATCGTGTCACGGCGGCGGCTGGTCATGTCCAAGAGCGGCGTCGGCCGTCGGTGAGCGGCCTTTTTCGACCTTCGATTCCTCCCCTCGTCGTCCGGGCTCTACCTTCGTATTAGGGCTGGACCGCTCCCAGTTGCGGTCCATTGCTCGTCTCGCGCCCGTGGCTGCGAGACAGAGCTCGTCTCGCGCCCGGCAGCAGGACCGAGCTCGTCTCGTGCCCGGCAGCAGGACCGACCTCGTCTCGCGCCTGGCAGCAGGACTGAGCTTGTCTTGCACCCGGTGCAGCAGGATGGGTGATGGAGGCCTTTTTTGGGCCGGCCCTTTGGGTCCCGGCGCCGGGGGCCGTCCAGGGGTGTGTAAAGGAGCGACCTTTCCACTCATCACTTTGGTTGGGGTAGCGACGGGCCTCGGGTGCGGTGGTGTCAAGGTCTTGGATGCCGGGGCGGCGGCCCTGGTGGTGGTAGCGCGGTGCTCGTGGGCAGAGGCTGTGGCTTGGTGCTGCCCGGTGACCATGGCCGTGTGGGCGGCATGGTGGCAGGGGTGTGGCGTTCGGTGGCGGTGAGTGTTTGCTGGGGTGAAAACCTGTTCTATCCTCGGACGGACCGGCGGCGGCGTAGCGCGTTACCTTCTAGAAGGCGTCGTCGCGGCTCTCACCGGTCATCGTGTCGCTCCAGAGGAAACTCTGACCCCCGGGTCAGGCGGTGGCGGCGCGCTAGCGTCGTAACCTTCTTGGAGGCGCCGCCTTGGAGCTCACGGTTCGTCATATGCGGCTTCATCTCTTCGCGGTGGTGTGTTCCCGGTGGAGGTCCTTGATTGCTCTTGTAGTGTTAGGGGTGGTGTTGCTGCGCTCAGCGCCTATGTATCCCGCCTTGGGTGTGTGCGTGTGTTGTCGTGGGGTGTGCTTGTACTTGGGCTGTGGTTGATCTGTGCTTTATATATAAAGCGGGGCGAAAGCCTTTTTCTGTATATTAATTGTCGCTGATTTAGTTCAAATGTCCAAGGAGTAGCTGAATTTGAGTGCACAATTCTGTAATTCCTGATCAAGCAGATTTATACCTTTCCATGAGTGGCTAATTGTCTCTCCTTGGACATTTGAATTCTGATGAATGTGAATATTAAAATGCATGTTATACAAAATTTAATCTTTCCAAGTCACACTGCACTGTACATACAAATTTATTATTTTCTTGCACATTTTAGAAGTGTTTTTTTTTTGCCTGGGATAGTTTCAGTGCCGAATTGTTGTTTCTGTTGTTTTGGGCACATTCTGGTAGTAGTCCATTTTTGCCTGTGAGCCGGTGTCTCTACTGAACTGTATTTTGTAGTTTCTTGCACATTCTGTTGTTTCTTTCTTGCACACAAGTCTCATATACTGAACTGTTTGTTCTGTTTTTCCCTGCAGGATTTGGCATGACATGCTAAAATTTTGGAGAAGAACAAGGCGTGACATGGTGAAAAGTGCATCATTTGACCTCCGGTTAACATCTTGGGTCAGTTGTTATGTTTGTCAAACTGAATCGTTATCGTCAAGTGGATGTTTTGCTTGGTGTTATCATCCTTTTACTCTTTGATGCTTTGTGATTTGAGCTTCTTTGTTGAAGCTTAATGTGTTATGTTCATCTGGTTGCTCTTCTTCTTAAGATTGGAGCACTTGCAGATTTCTGTTGCTAGATTAAGTTTTACTATGCCGGTCATTGGTTGGTTATATATTTCTGTCAGTCAGTTTTGTGCCTGAGAGCAAATCAGTTGTTCTGGACCTTGTCAAACCTCAGCTATTGCTTGAGCCAGTTCTGGGATGGTGACGCCTTGAAGAATCTGGTCAAAGCAAGCCAGGACATCACTCATTGCCACGTAATAACCACCCCCACTCCCATCATTTGATCATCAATGAAACAGTACTGCAGCATCAAGATTACTACTGTAACCATCTTGGCACTGACGATGATGGCTCACACCTGTTAGATCTTATCAATATGAGCCTCCTGATCTTATGCACAACCCTTCACGACACAGGACCGACTTTGCTGTTCCGAGCCTCGTTGCGGCCCCATGGAAACCAACACCTGACAGCAATAGCAGTGGATGTTTTTTCTTTGTGACGAGTTGTTTTGACAGTAACTTAGATTATGAGGCAATGAATGGTTTCACATCACTTATATATCTCGCGGATACTTTGATCGCCTCAAAGCATTGGTTTGTCGATAAACTGTTAGGCATGCAAATGTACCAGATTAAGGGAAAGTAAGGCAACTTACCTTATGATGAAAAATCTGTGTTGGTCCCAAGCAAAACGTTGTACAAAAATGCAGTAGCAGTTGCGGGCATGTCAAACAAGTGATTTGATTTGGTTTGCAGCAGAAGACTGAAAAAGAATGTTCCTTGAGAACTTGGAATAAGTGATGGTAACTGAGAATTATATCACGCCAAAAAAACTAAGAATTATATCAGTAATTGTAACTGTCCTGGGATGATAAGCAGTTGCACTGTCGCCTCAGCTATTGTTTCTGTTTCTGTGAGCATCGATCATATAATTACGCAGCAGAGACTGTCTTCTCAGTTTCTGAATGCAAGCAGTGTAGCTAGACCACTGAAAGTTAGCAGGTAGCCAATCTGCTACTCCCTCCGTCTGAAAAAGCTTGTCCCAAGCTTGTCCCCCGAATGGATGTATCTAGCGCTAAATTGATGCTAGATACATCCATTTGAGGGACAAGCTTTTTTGGATGGAGGGAGTACTTCGGTAATTTGTGTCTGTTAATACTGACTAGTAACTGCTATACCAATGTAGCTTATTTTTGTGCTCTGTACTAGTGCACTGCGACTTAAATAAGAATCTGGGAAAAAATTGTTATGCTCCCAGTAAACTTATGTATTTTCTGTTAATAATCTTGAGAAAGTGTACAAAGCGTCGTCCATGTTTACCATCAGTTTGCTCCCAACTGTGTCATACTCCCTCCGTCTGGAATTACTTGTCGCAGAAATGGAGAAGTAGTTAATTTTTCGCCCACATCTAGTAGAAGATCCATGCTCCATGCTGTCCATCAGAGTATTTTTTTTGGGGAGTATGCTATTTTTCCATGTTCCTGTTCCATGCTAGAAGAATTGGATCGCGTTGCCCTTTATTTTCTGAAACTTTTCCAATGACATGAGTTTCTTGTTGGTAACTCAATAAAACAATCTGTTATTATGTGACATGATTCCATACAGGGAATGAAGATTGCTTTATTTGTTAATAGTAACAATTACAGTGAGTTTTTTGTGTGTTCTCCAGGCACTGGCATCATTGGGCCAGCAGTCTGAAGGTAGAGGAAATCTATAGCAATGGAAGGTATCCCACTAAACCCACATATCCCACTTAATAATAAGTTGGTTTTGACAGGCATCCCACGCCAGAGACCTGACGTCACCGGCACATCACCTTTACCTCGTGATCGAATATTCTCATGGCCATGGAGGAGAGGCGGCGAGCGGAGAAGGCCGAGGAGGGGCTGAGGACGGACATGTAGCTTAGCTGCTGGGGCCCCCAAATTAGGAGTACTAGCAGCTGGGGGTGTTGAGTTCGTTGCAGCTTGTGCTTATGTTATGTGACAATCCCCAGACGATCGGTTGTAAAGATACCATGATGATGACGATGATGAAAATTTTGGCTATGAGTTTACATCACCCTCTATGTTCATGTGCTTCTATGACTAGTTTCCGAACAAAAGGCGAACGGCCAATCTTTATCAAGAGAGGAAGAAAGTTCAGAGTTTCACAGGGAGAGTAACTCAGCAAAGCAAGCAGACAGGCATACTCATTCATTCGGAATCACCACGCATCTAACACGGTAATTGCCTTTGGCTCCTAGGAGCCAAAACACCGCGTCCGCGTATATAGTTCTGTATTGCAGGGGTCAATGGTGCAATAGTAGTGCAGTTGATCTGGCCATCGTAAAATCAATCAAATTATGACTATCTATCTATGCCTGCTGAATGACAGAGTCGAAAGAAGAAGAGAAATGCATGGGACCCAATTCAGAAGACATAGATTGCCTCGACGTTGTCGATGAGAATTCCCTCAAGTCCAAGGAATACCTGTGGGCGCTGTACGAGTACTGGTGCGAGTATCATGAGCTATCGCGCGGCCCTGCCGAGATGCGCCGCCGGTTCAAGACATTTAGCAAGACGGCGAGGCGTGTGCATGAAGTCAACAAGTCGGGCGCGAGCTACAAGTTAAGACTCAACCAGTTTGCAGATATGAGCCTGGCAGAGATCAAGAGGCATTTTCCTCTGATGCGGCCGGATCATTTGGGTTAGGGTTCCTAGCTAGTTAGATCATTTGAGTTCAATAAAAGCTGTATTTCCTGCATCTGGTACGTGCTGCTGCATGTGTATTGGAGGAACATCTTGCGCTTCTTTGCGTGGAGGAGTAAATCGCACTCCTGGTCAACTTCTCAAACATTTTCAGTGTGCTTTTTGTAGGGTAGGGTGAAGACAGTTCAGCCTAGAAATCGTGTGAATTATGCAGATGGGCACTATTATGTAGATCATGTAAATAAAAGCTACTCCCTCCGTTCGGAATTACTTGTTGAAGAAATCGATGTATCTAGACGTATTTTAGTTCTAGATACATTCATTTTTGCGACAAGTAATTCCGGACGGAGGGAGTAGAAAGCTTAAAGGATTCATTATGACGAAATTGAGTGTTCGTAGCAGCCATCCTGCACACAACATCACTAGAGCATACATGCTACTGACGAAAATGTAAGAAATAATGCTGGCTAGCTGCTGCTGACGCTCCTAATTCATGCCAAATCAGTGAAATCTCGAGGTGACCACACCAGCAACATCATCGCTCTATTTAACTAAACGTACTCCCTCTATACCAAAATATAAGACGTTTTGCAGTTCAATTTAAACTGCAAAAACCTTTTATATTTTGGTACATAGGTAGTACTATAGTACTGTAAATCATTGATCCAGTATGTTTCTCTGTGGTCCTAAACCACAGAACCGTACTATACAACACCCAGAGGGCCAGAGGTCATCCATACCATACACCCAGGTCAAGAAGAAGAAGAAGAAGAAGAAGAAAGACCCGGAAACGAGAGACGATGATGATCTATTAACTCCATCACAGGACCGCGCCGTGGCTGGCCGGAGGAGCGGCGGCAAACCCTAGTTGACTGGAGTCGTCAGGGCTGCCAGTGAGGCGGACGTAGTAGTACTGAGAGGCCGATGGCGAGTCGCCGTCGAGGAAGGGGTTGTCTCCGGTGTCCGTCCGCCACCCGCCTTCCGCGTAGTGGAGGATGATGGCCCTGTACAGGAACGGCAGCAAGCCTTCCATGACTCTAGTGTTTGTTTTTCTTCTCGTATATGGGCGCAGAAGGAAAGGATAGAGGCAAAGGATTGTCGTACGGGGTTTTATAAACAGGCAGAGATATGTGTTAAGATGTGCTTTGAGTCTTAGCTAATCAAGGTTAGTGGATGATTATGGCCTTGCTTAGCTTGCAAACGGAAATGGTCAATGAGAGGAGGAGACATGGGTGATGATGATGGTGATGGGTTGGGTTGCATGCCTCTGGAGGAAATGAATTTTGTGAGGGCCGGCAAGATGATGTCTGCACTTCAAGAGAGGACAAGATGCAATTTCAAATGTATGCGACAGGTATGGAATATTTGAATATGCATGCTCACAAGAACAAACAAAGAACAAATCTGTTGGTTCTGGTTCAAGGAAGACCAATCCAAAGAACAAAATATAACACAGATATTTGGCGTGAAAACTAAGGACATCTTACCTCACCTCATGACATAGTATAATGGGGTTGGTTATCCACTGTTGTTAGTGAAGCTTCAAACTAGGACCTCAACTAAACCTGCCATTGCAAACATACTAGAGTATATCTACGCTTAAAACCCATGTCGGGTAAACCATCCTTCTCAAGTACTCCCTCCGTCCCAAAATTCTTGTCTTAGATTTGCCTAGATATGGATGTATCTAATACTCAAACGTGACTTGATACATCCGTATTTAGACAAATCTAAGACAAGAATTTTAGGACAAAGGGAGTATCTGAATTAGTCCACCTCAAGCATCATCCAAATTACGATAATGACACCCATCCAAGTAACAAGAAAGGGACATGACACATGACAATCAGCCTCCCTTGGGAGGAGTTTACATTTGACACCCAATAATGTAACACAATAGTACAACAGTGTAGTAAAGTTCTAGCATATATATCTGTCGTCTGACCTTGCTTGCTTAATATAACACATAATTTAATCTCCAGAAAGAATCTTTCTAGCAACAGGTGGTAAAGCCTCTCTACACAAACTACCTACGGCAGAAGGGCTGGCTCTCTTCGTGTGACACAGTTCCTCCGCACAGAGTCGGCGGGGGATGATATTGCTTACAAAAACGGTGTGGCGGTGATCCAAGGTGTCATGGATAGACGTTACCCTGATCAGCAGCAAGATACTATGAGTTGAGGTGGAAGATTTGACAGTCCGGTTCGTAGTTGCCCTTGGAAGCCGCCTGCTCAAACTTCTTCAATGGCCCTTCGTTCTCTGTCAAGCCTGTCTGGATAAAGTAGCGCGTCCACCACGAATTACTACGCAACTTTGCCTGTCAACAACACAAAACACAGCAGGTGTTGTCACTTGTCAGTCAAGGCCTCTATGTAGCCTGGATCGAAAATTATCATCAGAATTTCAAAGCCTTCAGTCAGGCGCAATTTATTCTATAGGTTCTGGAACATGTGAATACTTGCACTACAAATCTACAACAGCTACAGACAAATCTCACAATCAATAGCACAAATGTACAGCTATGCTGCTGTGTGACACAGTAGGTCAGAAAAATTGGTAAACATATGAGATGATGAGAAGCAACTTCATTAATGATGTCATCATATATCCAAAGAACAAAATGTCAAACAAACAAAATTAGGTAAAGCACAAGCACACATCCCTGGGCTGTTATTAATCCATAAGACTATAGGATAAACACATAACTCTTCAATAATTTGTAATGACTCCTTTTTGGATCATGACTATAGGATAAACACATAACTCTTCAGTAATTTGTAATGACTCCTTTTTGGACCATGAGCATGTAATGTGTTCAATTTGTTTATTAGCTTGAGCTCAGTAAAGTGGACACTATGATGTTTAAGTCATATAGGAACCATTTCTTAAGGCCAGCATGCCAGCAAATAGAAGTCATTTGTACATACCGGTCTTCCAAATTTCGGAAGCTCGGAAACTTTAGCCTTCTGCTGTCCTGGATTGCCTGGATAAGAGTAACAGAAATAAATATTAGCTCAGAAATTATATATCATCCACCAGAACTAGTAAATCGTGCACAGATACCACAGAATTAATGAACATTAAATAATACACTGTATAAGTACGAACATCAAACCCTACTACTATTCCCTAAGAAGTCAAAAAAGAGAGGCATTTCAGGACATGCATGGCCAAACTTTCTGCAGTTTGGCACCAATATGTTTACAAGCATCTATACTAGAAACGAAGGAACTGTAGATTTGATTAGGAAAGCATTTCCATAGAACTATAATTGTTGGGCTCTACACCTATATTATGACAGAAACTAGTGGTCAAATTTGTGTTTTGTGGGCTATGTTATATCCAAAACAACACTGGTATGTTACTTAATAACGGTATTATCAGAAATAAGTTCGAGGGGAGCCATCCTCAAATATTGGCAGGACCAAGACAACAGTAAATAAAAAGAAGCAAAACTATCATCTGATAAGAAAATTATCAGAAGTAAATTATCTTTTACTCTGAAGACGAACAGATACATGTAACTATATGTCAAATGAAGGTCCTCCCACAGAAAAGGAAGTAAATGTCTCAAATTGAAAAGAAAAGGACATACCAGTAAAGATAACAAGGCCATCGGTGGAGACCCTTGCTAAATCAGGAAGTGTTTTGTTCAGATACCTTGGGGTCAGATAATCCAAAGCATCTGACACGACAACAAGGTTAAAAGAATCTGGGCGGTATGGAAGAGAGAACTTGATATCAGACAAACGGACAAAGCCCTTGCGCACAAGGCTTTTGCAGCTACTATCAGCATCATCCAAATCATAAGGCTCCACTCCCCATGCTTCCTTCCCTTCTTTCAACAAGTTAGAAACTACTGTACAACTATCTGGGCCTACATGGAGAACCTTCTGCATAGCACTGCCATACGCCTTTTTAAGATAAGGAAGTGCCTGGATAACTTCTGATGTGCAAGAACCTGGATGCAAATGCAAAACAAAGGAGGTAAGTAAAGGAGGACCATACAATTCCTACCAGTCATGATCTGGGAAACAAAATACAAAGAAGACAGTAACACACAACACAATGAGATCAACCAAACACCAATGTTCACTGAAGACCAGGCCACTGTAAAATATCTGTGTTGGCCTGTAACAAGCTGATAATTAACCATTTCTGAGATAGTTTATTATAACTTTGGGGATTCGCTACTTGGCTATTCTGATGATTATGATAACAGAGTAAACAAGGATAACAAATTTCCTGATTAGAGTGAACCACCAAACAAAATTATGTTGGTAAGATACAGTTTCCTTGTTGTGTGAGGATATTAACTATTCACTATCACATCTCCTAGTGAAAACTAAAGACAACCCAGTAACAAACAAAACTAGGAGGCTAGAAGAACAAACATAGGAGTCAAAATGCAGTATAGGCCCAGGACGAGGACACTCCTATTATCAAATCAACACACATAATGTGGATGTCTCATGTGAGCATCATGTGCTGTAGTGCTATTAAACAATGATACAGCAACAGAATATATCAATATAATATCTTCAATGCAAATTATGGTACTTGTAGCAAAACAGTTTGAAACAATAACTGCACAATACATTATAGCGAGAGTTAACTTGAATCAAACAGCAAAGGGAACAGTTTAGAGTTAAAAGGGAACAGTTTAACAACATATCCAACTCGCAAGTTCAGGAGGCACAATTCAGAAACTTTCATCAGGGCACTCTATAAATAAGAGTACGAATCGGCTTGACACACAGAACAGCGACATAAAAGAATTATATACCTTCAGCTCTGCTCACAGATTCTCTGCTCGTAACAGTTACACCTGGCCATTGGAGAAAGAGTCAAAACAAGAAGTATTAGATCACAATATTTACATCTTTCTCATTGAGATCAGACCACAAACCAGTAACTTCAATCATAAAGTATATCCATAACACCATATAACAGTCCTAGAAACCCCAACACTGTTTGAGCATGTGACAACGAGTTTACGTTCGAATGAAGTGTGTATGAACAATTAATCTATAAACAGCAGGTACAGTACAATTCTACTCTAGACACATTACCACAATAACATCATTACAAGCACCCTACTCTCAAATTCAGTATCCAGTTGCTAACTGAAACAAGTTCAGTTGAAAGCAGAGCAGAGAACAGAGAAACAGAGCTGCTTCATGGCACTGCTGCTGTTTTGCCAGCCATTTTGCAATCTACACAGCAATTACAGAGACACACGGCAAGGAAAACGCGTACCGAAGCTGGGAATTTGCAACCCACCTGAGCCGCTGTTGAAGTAGACGATGAGAATAATCACTCCCTGCAAACAAACAAACAAACGAACGAACGAACAAGCAGCAGCAGAAGCGTCGTTAGCATTCAGCCAAACAGGCGTAGAAGACCGAACAGTGTAGAATCCCAAACACCAGTGAGGGGGGAAGGTGATTACCAGGGCGAGCAGTGCCATGGTGAGCACGGAGGGCGAGCGCGACTTGTGGTGGAGAAGGCTGGCGACGGTGGGCAAGCCCCCGTCCGAGCCCCGGCGGCCGGGGTTCACCGCCCTCCTCGACATCCTCCGCTCCTTGGTCCCCACCCTGACCGACCGGATCGATCCGCTCGGCCAAGCTTCTCCCCTCTCCCTCCTCGATCACCCTGCGCCGAGGAGTCGCGTTGTCAGATTGAAACAGTCCGCACCGACAAAAACCTAAGAGAAACGAACTCCCGCAATGCCGCGGGCGACGCGCAGGCAGATCGATCGGCCGCGACTGGGCCTGGGCTCAGCGCGCGCCGCGGGCTCGAACGGAAAACCCGGAAACCCCGGCGACTGCTGCGGGGGGAGGAGAGGGTGGATACCTGTAACGGCGGCGACGGTGCCGGAGAGGGGGTGACGGCGTCGGCGGGGGCGGCGGCGGCGGCGACGCTAGGGTTGGGGCGGATCTGGGGGGCGGCGGAGCGGGGGATCGGAGTGGAGTGGGGTGGGGGGAGAGCGAGGCGAGTGGGTGGCGATCCGACGAGATAGGGACGGGAGCG